TCCACACTCGGGACAGGTCTCCTGGTACTTTCATCCATGACACGGGACACAGGCGGGTAGCTGCCAGGTTGGGGTTTCACACACTCAATGTAAACAAGGAGCAGGAACAGGCATTGAAAGTCCTACCGATTTTACATATCACTCTATCTGCTTGTGTTTATTGTAAACAGTGGCAGCAAATAAGTTTTCATTGAATGCTCCAACTACATTAAAAGTATATTCCGGTTTTGCATGTTTTAAATGTTTGCTCTAGACAGAACTTCTTCTAAAAATTCATTCAAATGATGCTAAACAGAAAGATGTTAAAGAGTGACAGAATATGTAGGCAAAGATGGATTTGAAGGGATGGAAAATCCACGGGAAGCTGTGATCTTCTGCCTGGGACATGCCCAAATGACTGAAAATTTAGTGACCTGCACCCCAAGGCTCACGGCATGACTATGCAGGTGTAGGGTTCCACTGCAGTCCTCTTAGCTGTGTCCCAGCACACCCCCAGCCCCACCCACTCTCCCATCTAAAGTGCCATCTCTGGGTCCTCTCAGGAATCCTGGAGCTGCTTGTTCCTGCTCTCCGTGGCCCTTCCTTGCCCACCGTAAGATCTGCCGTCTGGATTCCTCAGCCTTCTCTCTCTGCCTCACCTCCACACTGCTGGGTGTTGAGGGTGTGAAGGGGAAGGGAATGGCATCCCCTCCCTATTTAAGTTTGTTTTAAGTGGGCACATTCGTTCATTAGGGCTCATGATAACAAACTCACACAAACGGGGCCCTCAAGCAACAAGAATGTCCTTTCTCATAGTTGGGCAGGCCAGAAGTCTGAGATAGTGTTGGCAATGTTGGTTCCTTCTAGAAGCTCAGAGGGAGAATAAGGTCCCTGCCACTCTCCTGGCTTCCGGTAATTGTGGCAATCCTTGGTGTCCCTTGGCTTGTAGACTCATTGCTCCAATCTCTGCCTTTGTCTTTGAGTGGTGTTTCCCCCTGTGTCTCTCTGTGTCTTCTCCTCTTGTAGGGACACCAGTCATACTGGATTAAGGGTCCACCCGACTCCATTATGACCTCATTTTAACTAATCACATCTGCCCAGAACTTATTTACAAATAAGGCCACATTCTTAGGTTCCAGGAGGGACATGAATTTTGGGGGACACTGTTCAACCCAGTACATTAGGGATTTGACCTTGATTTTTAATAGGCTACTCTGAATGCACCTAGTGCAGTACCCTAAGCTGGGCAAACATTAGGTGCTGATAATTAATGTGACCTCATCCAGTCTAGCCCTTGATCAGGGCTGGGGACACCAATCGACCCAGCACAGCACGGAAGACACAGGGATGTGGCTAATTGATGGGCTTTAACAGGAATTCTGTAACCATTCAAGCTTCCAGAAATCATGTGTAAAGGGAAGCAAAGGATCGGAGACTTTGCAGAGACAGCCCTGTATCAACACATGCCTTGGAAAGAGTTAAACTCCAAAAGCAAAGGCTACGGAGTTAGTGAAGCCACAAATGCTGGGGGAACTGTATGGGCATTCAGCCCTGCAAGATCCCTTCTGAGCACAATGCAGGCAAATGCTGGCATCGAAAGGCCCCCCAAATGAGCCAGGAAGTCTTCCACTCCATCATGAAGAATTGTTCTCTGGAGTGGGGACCAGTGGGGACGTGTTTGAAACACTTACCATATGTGCACGAGGAGGGTCTAATTTGTCCATCTTGAAATTTTGCCTTTCTTTTGAAAGGATAGTTAATTTAAAGTAATTTGTTTCACAGGTGAAGCCTTTTTCCGAGTGTTTAATATATCACCCTTGGTTGCCTGAACAATTAGAAATTGTCACCAAAGAAAAATGTCGCAGTTCATATAAATAACTGTTTACCTAAAGGAGCGGGAGCCCACCGGAGTCAGCACACTGTAATGAGGCATGACAACGAGAGAAAGCCGGGCTCGGCTGCATCTGCTAACGCTGACACTGCTCATGGTAAAAATTGGCCGAAACAACTATTATTTGTTTTTTTCTTGTCAGAAATAATGTAGCTTGAAAATTTGCAACAGGCAGCATGAGTCCAGACCATTTGTTACTTCTAATGGCCTAATTGTTCTCCTGGCAGATATAAAAAATTGGGGCACTTGTGTCATTTACCTAAATTTCTAATTAATGCAATGGCAAAGGAGAAATTGGAGCAGGAAAAAAAAGTTGAAAAATGTGTCTGCATGCCCTTACGTAATCTGTCTTTGTTAACTTTCCCTCTCTTTCCCCAGCAGCAGGGACTTGTGATCACCAACTAGATGTCATGCTGCTGGCTTCAACAGGAAGAAAGAAAGACATACAGCATTTGCTCAGATCCTCAGCAAACAGGGTTTCTGCTTTCTGCACAAGCAACAAAAATACCACTACAGCGAAAAGTGAGTTACATCAAGTGGGCATTTCCTGAAGAATTTGTCCTTCTACCTACCACAGAGTAGAAGAGACATTTGACTCACATCTGTGCAGCCGCTAAACAGTGCCCAGGGTTAGATTCTAATGTATAAATCTGCAGTTACCTTACGCATTCTAAACGTTTGGCATACAACGATAGGCTTATATTTGAAAATTCCTAGGGTCACACGTAGTTGTAAAACAACCCCCTTATCACTGAAGTCTTAACATTCTGTCTTAAATTCAAAATAATTCCTCCGAAAACAGAGGAAAAGGCACGCTTCAGAAATAAAATTTTGGCTGATGTTAACAAAGCTATCATAAGGCAAAACAACAATAGTTCCCATTGTGTTTTCCTTAGAATGACAATTCCATGAAATGCTTGGGGGGAAAAAAGCCACATAATCTGGGAAAACATACTCTCTTTTCTTCTTAGAGACAATGCCTGGTAAGATATGGGAGGTTTTGAGAAGCTCTGCAGTACTGAAACATTTGAGGTATTTAAATCATCATTTTCCAAACATGTTTGACTTCAGAATCTTTATTTTTACGTTAGAAAAAAAAATCATATCCTGAAGAAAAAAAAAAAAATCCATGGAGTCTAATCCTGATAAGGAGGTACTTAATAGTTTGTGAAGCGACCCGTTCTAGCAATAAGGCTAATAATTGGATTAGGAGGGCCGGAGCGCGGGACACACCTAGTGAGAGGCTGGATCACAGCGCCTAATAAATGTTAGCAGGTTACCACGGGAAGAAGAGGGAGAAATTCTTCTTTATACTGAAGTAAAAAAAGTGCTTTCCGAGGCTTTCCTCCACAGCTTACAGACTCAGAGACCAGAGCTCACATCAAGTGTCCGAGGAGAACCAGACGCCCCTCCCTCCAACCGCCTCGCCTCCGCAGGACAAGCTCCTGACCCCAGCACGGCGCCCTGCACTCGAGATGTGCCCATCTTTGCGAGGCTGCGGTGTCCTCTACACGCACCCAGCCTGCGGGGGTCCCTTCCCAGACGAGGCTCCCCGCACTGAGCTCCAATGTGGTGCAGCCAACACGGTGTCGTTTATTTTACTCTCCAGATCCAAATATTTAATTGTCTTAGAGCTGCTGTATTTGGGTCCTGGTCAGTTGGATTCTCACCATAGCTGTAACGGGACACACAGTGACATGGCTGGCCATCATCCGACTCTCTCTCTCTCTCTGCAGACTCCCTGGCCCATGGCGTTCATGTCCACGATTTTAAATACCACCTATATGCAAATGACCCCCAAATTTTGTTTCCAGTATGTACATATCTTTTATTTGCAATCTCTACTTGGATATCAGCTTAAATTTTACATGTACAAAACAGACCTTTTGGATCTCCTGCCATTCCCCCAAACTCTGTAGTTCTAACCCAGTTTCCCACCAGCATCCATCCAGTTTCACGAGCTGAAAATAAAGCCATCTTTTTTGATTGTTTCCCTGCACTCAGATCTGACCGATGGCGAGAGCTATGGGTCCTGCTTCAGCACCCACGGTCAACTCTCTGGAACCACCTGCTCACCCCCTGCCTGACTCCTGACCCTCCCCATTCTCCAGCGAGCAAACAGAAGGATGTTAAATATAAGAGCAAATGAGATGTCATCATTTCCTTGCACAAAACCCTTCCAAGGAATAGCAGTAACTGAAAAATAAAATCCCTCCCAGAATCTGACATCATCCATCTCCTCCTTTCTTCTCTAGTGCCTTCCGAAACCACCCTTTCCTCTCTCATGCACCCTGGCTTCTTGCGCTTTCTCCTAGTAAGATCCTTCCAGCCTTAGAATCATCACTCACGCTGCTCCTTCTGCCTCGGAAGCTCCTCTTGCCAGTCCCCTCCGCTGCCCGCCATGCTGCCCTCCTGGGGTCTCTGTGGCTTCTGTTCTTGCTACTGCACATATCTTACCACCATGCTTGTGCAGAAATCACTGACTATGTCTCAGAATCTTTTCTTTCAGTTGTCTCTTTTAGGATTCCTGATACATGTTGACACACTGCTCTCCAGGAAGGAAAACCATTTCATATTCTAGAGGGCAGTATAGGAATCTGCCCACATCATCACGCCTGTATCCATTCCCTGGGGCTGCCATAACAAAGTGCCACGCACTGGCTGACTGAGAACAACCCTCACACTTTGTCTCAGAGTTCTGGAGGCTGGAGGTCTGGAAGGAAGGTGTTGGCAGGGCCAGGCACCCTCTGGAGGAGATGCCGTCCTTGCCCCTCCAGTTTCTGCTGTTAACTGGCTGTCCTTGGTCACCCTTGGCTCCTGGGCACCACACCCCAGTCACATGGCATTCGTCCACCTGTGCGTCTGCACATTGTCTTCCCTCTGCGTGTGTCTCTGTGTCCCAATTTGTCCTTTTTAAAAGGATATCAGTCTTTTTGGATTAGGGGCCACTTTATTAACCACATTTTAGCTTTTGACCTCTGTAAAGACACTCTTTCCAAATGAGATCCTGTTTTGGGGTACGGGTGGGGCATAGGTGCCACCATTTCTATTTTTTAGAAGAAACACAATTCGACCCATAGGGACGCCCTCGTCAGCCCCTGCATCATCATAGCTACAAAACAGGACCCACCTGGTCATTTCTCACTGCTTTAGTCTTCATTTGCACAGTCAGTGGTGAATGCACCTGTTTGCTCATGTTCCCTCATCACTCAAACTTCTTTTGTGGATTTCCAGCTTTGCCTTCTCCACGTTCAGTGCCGATAAATCCTTCCACTCACCTTGTCTGCCCAGTGAACACAGCAACCGGGAGGGACGCGCTGCTTCGTTCCTCTGGTCACCGGCAGTGAACACACTTTGGAAGCAGGAAAGTGAGCAACTTGCTTCTCAATAGGGAGACTGGACCTGTTGCTACATAGGATCGACAATAATTAAAATGTAATTACTAAACCCCCAGCAAAAATCCTAGCAAAGGATATTTCTCATTGATTAAGTGAAAAATAACCAAAAAAGTCTTCTGTGTGACTCACTGCTACCTATAATAGCCTCAATTATTGCAAACTATCCTAGCAGTGCCTATTTTTAAAAGCCTTTTTATTCATTTCCACTAAACACGCCAAGGGCTGCTATTATTATGTGACGCGTGAATTTTTAAAAACCATTGAACTGCATTATATTAAGGCAATAAAACCGATTATCTGGCCCAAACCTGTCCAATTTACCAATGAGGAAAATGAGATTTGGGGAGTTCAGCCTAAGATCACACGGACGATTAGAGGAAGAAAGCAGGGTCTAGGACACGAGGGCCGGCTCCCGGCTACGCTCTTTCCCACAGTGTCTTCTGTCACTCTTCGTGACCGGGGACCTTCAGTGGAGCAACCCCTTCAGTGAATGTGGCTGTTGCTCAAGATGACAGTGGTGGTGCTCACACTTGTCACTGTGGAGCAGGTGCAGTGCCCTGTCCTTCACATTCCTCATCTGCTGCTCCTAACAGCCTTTGCCGTGGCCGCCGTCCCACGGCACAGACTGAGCCCTGGGGTGTGGGGACCGCGCCTGCTGCCAAGGCCCCAGCACTGAGCTCAGGCCAGGTCTTGGCCCAGGTTTCTCAGATGAGTGAGCCTTTCTACTGAATTCCACAAATTTCCACAGAAATTCTGACTTCCTCCAAGACATTTCTGTTACACCTGGCCTTTTCTGGCATCAGAAAATTCCTTGGAAAGGCAGAGTTATTGAAATAGATACTGAAAAAATAATGTGCGCAGTTCTGAAATCTCAGTCCCGAAATGAGGTCTTCCATCGCTTCACTGCTTAACGTAAACATTCTTTTCCCCCATAAACTAAGAAGCGTGCACTTCTGGGCCTGAAAAATACAGTTAAATTCAAAGGGCCATTTATGACATTTTTACCAAGAAGGCACTTTCTCTCTTCATGATGGAGTAACAGTTCCCGTTGAATGTAAAGCCAGATCTTGGCAGTGGTGTCAATATTTTTAGCTTCATTATTATACATGTGGTCTTATTGATTCTGTTCATAGTTTCCCTGTTAAGAATTAAGTCATGAGCCTTGTTTCTTAATCTCATTTTATCCTCACTGCTCATCCTAATCATTCTTTACGTTAAAGGATTAGTGCTCGGGTGAAACTGGACAAATAACAACGCACCTTGGAAGAGATACTTTTCCAAAAAGGGAACAAGAGCACTTTTCCCTGTAAGCGGGCTTAGCAACGAGGGCCCTGGCCCTGAAGGGGCTTAGAGGGTGGGACAGTGTCCTTGCATCGCACGCCGTCCTCCGCAGGGGTGGGAAGCCTTCCACTTCACACAGCAACAATCCTGACTGCTCCACTACAGGTAAGTAGCTCCATCCTCATTGAGCTCTGCGACACTCCTTCCACAGGAAAAATTAAATGCTCTAGCATGTGGTTCCTACTCTTCAGCCATCCCCAAAGTCTGATGAGAGGTGGGACACAGGAGACCACCAGGATTTCTGTCAGCCACGTGATGACAACGAACCTGTGCTCCCCACACTGAGGCAGTGGAGAATTTGCGGGATCTATCCAACCTCCCCTGGTGTATGCTTTCCCATTAGGGAGAGTCAGAGTGAGCCCGGATTCACTCCACAGCTGAGCTGCTATGCAGGGGAAAAGCCACTGCCCATTAAAAATAAAAAAGCCCTCTCTGTTGGAGAGAAATTACTTTAACCATTGAAGGGTAACATCATTCATCCAGGTAAACCTTGGAGTTGAAACTATAACACCTTGTTACTGACAGACTCCAAGCCAGCCAGAGATGCAGCAGGATAAACACTGATGTCCACAGCCCGGGGAGATTATCCGTCAGAACAAGCAGGGCGACTTCTATCCCTCTCCTTGCCTGAACACCCAGACCCCGGCCCGTGCAGCCGCTGCCATCATTCACAGCCCTCGCGTCTGCGTGGGCAGCAGCTGCGTGTGTGGAAGCGTGGTGGGCTCTGCGTGTAGAGGACAGGCGAGAAGTCTGTGCCCTCGGGGGTTGTGTGACTGAACAGGAGCACTGTCACCTGAGGAGAGCCCATGGTTTGGGGAAAAGCAGATCTACAGGCGACCTCTTGGTCTGCCACCCCCAGTCTAGGCAGCCTTGAGCAACTCAACCACCTGGTCTCAGGAGTTTCAGCGCCCTCATTGTCAAAATGGGATAAAATATCCATTCCTCAAAGGCCACAGGCGTCAATGAGAGAGCAGACACAGATATAGATGTAAGTACCTATTACAGTGACAGACACTCATTAAACAGCGACCGTGACCCCGGTCCATGTGAGACTCCACCACCAACAGTGAGCCGCGCTGGAAGGAGTCAGCGGTGCTGGACTCTCCTTCACTACGACTTCAGTTAATCAGCTTAAGTACTGGCACTTCCAGACAGAATCCTTTCCGTAAAAAACATTGTAAGAGGACCCTGAAATAGCTTGTAAGCTATTTTTAAATTTGCTACTTCCTGGTTGAAGACTTTGGTTAAATAGTTTACCAATTCATTGTTTTATATTCCTCATCTGTGAAACGGAGACTATTAGTCACAACGTGGCTATAAAAAACAACTCAAAGGACACAAGGATACTCTCTTAGCCAATGAGAAAAGCCATAATACATAATGTGTGCACAATAACATGTTTGTTGAAATAACGAAAATTAAATGAGAACACAGAAATACCTGTTTTCAATGTGTTACCAAAAAATACTTCTGAACCTGTTTGTCAATAAAATGTGAGTGATCATTACAGTAATAAAAGTTTTTAACATATTTTTCATTCTTTCAATATTCAAACAAGTATCAAGTACCTAATATTTAATATGTGCCTGTACATTGAGAACATGAGAATGCTGAAGAAATAGAGCCTAGCACTTGTGATCTAAGAGGGAAGACAGACTATAAATGTATTTTTTTAAAAAAAAGGAATTTGTGCCATACTAGAGGAACATAGAAGGTACGTGGGGAGAACAGGAAAAAACAGACGTCTAAATAGGTCAGCTGAGATCCAAAGAGACTTCACAGAAGAGACAAAGCTTGAGTTGATTCTTGAAGGAAAAAGGAATCGGCGGAGCTCGAGGACAAGAAGATACGCCTTCCAAGTGGAAGGTCGTGGGTGCGTGAGTAGTGTCACGTGTGAGAGTGCAGGCCCGTGTGAGCACACAGCACGTCCCATGCCTGTGAGGACCAGGCTTGGAGCAACAAGGGAGAGGCGGGAAGCAAGCCAGGAAAGGCTTATAAAGATAACCAAGTGAAAGAGGCGCAATTTCATCTCCTGGGAGAGAAAAACATAGATTGAGCAGAAAGCTGACTTTAGCCACGAGGGAACCTGCCTGGAAAGGGTGGAAGAGAAGCCATTAGACCAGTGAAGAGACTGGTTAGCAGTCTGGCCAAGAAACTACACTGGGTGAGGAAGAGGCAGAAGTCAGGGATGACATCCAGATTTCTGGTGCAGGTAACTAGGTTAAGAGTGAAGTCATTTACTAAAAACAGGGGTCTCAAGGGAGGAAGGCCAGGTTTGGCAGAGTAGAAAGAGAATACATGAGTTAAGTTTTTGTCACAAGGTCTTTTGCGTGCCTAGGGGACACACTGATAGAGAAATCCACACAGCAGTTGGAAATACATGCCTAGAGCTTATATTCATTCAAAGGCAGTGATAGGAGAGCAGAATTCGTGGGAACGTATAAGATTACCTGAGGATAGTTTGGAGAGTCGAAAGAAAAGAAAGCCAAGAAGGATCACCAGAAATGATAATGTTTAGGGTCAGCCATATGAAGAAAGATTTACAAACAAGACTACAGAGTGAGTAGAATGTAAGATGATTTGTGGGAAGAGTGGTTTGAAGGCACATGGCACATTCAGATATCTGGGTGATTAGAACAGCAAAAGAGAGAAGGGTTTCAAGATAGGAAGGACATTTGTTGAAGACAATATAGGAGTATTTTTAGGGTGAGGAAGTACTTTTTAAGTATACTGATAAAGAAGGACATTTTAAGAAAACAAATTTTAAATATATTAAGAGGGCAGAGTTATACACTAATATATAACAATTACACAAAATTTAAGTGGATAAAGTCTTCTAATTAAATGAAAACAAAAAGCTGTCAGACTAGATGAAAATAATAAGAATCCAACCTTGTGCTACTTCAAGAAATATATCCTAAATACTAGAACACAGAAAGTTTAAAGGAGAAGGACAAAAACTAATATATTATTCACGTTCTAACTAAAAGAAAGCTGATGTGTATATATCAAAGAAAAAGTAGAAGAAAAAGTAGATTTCAAAACAGGATTATTGCCAGAGATAAAGAGGCATGTATTATAATTTAAAAGCATCAAGTCATCTAAAAGAAATAGCAATCAAAAATGTACATGCATCTAATAATATAGCTTCAAAATCCATGCTATAAAAATCAACAGAACTAAAAGGAGAAATAGTCAATCTACAATCACAGTTGGAGATTTTATCACACCTTCTAAGTGACTGATAAAATGTGGAAAAACCAGTAATGATGTAGAAGATTTGAACAACAGGACTAACAAACTGGACCTACTTGGCATACACAAAACACCGTACCTAATTATGTCAAAATAAACATTCTCTTCAAGTGCACATGAAGCATTTACTGGAATAGACCTTATGCCAATCATTGAGCAAATCTCAATAGACTTAAAAGGATTAAAATCATTCAGAGTATGTTCTCTGACCATAGTATATGTAAGTTAGAAAATAATAATAAAACGGTAAATTTAAAAAAACCTCCAACTGCTTGAAATAAAGCTACATACTAAAAATAATCATCTAAGTAATATTATATTTAAAACTATTTTGAACTGAAGATAATAAACAATAAAATACATAAGATGCAGCTAAAGTGATGTACAGAGGAAAAATTTTCAACTTAATTTATACATTAAAGGAAAGAAAAAAGCCTGAAACTCAAACGCTACACATAGTTTTCAAGGAAAAAAACCCCAGCAAATTAAGTCCAAGGAAAGTAGAAGAAAGTAAACATAAGAGCAAAAATCAATGAAATGTGAAGAAAATATGCAACAAATAAAATTTATTTGGCATTTTGAGAAAACTGTACAAAATTTTTAAGCCCCTAGGAAGACTGATCAAAAAACCAAAGAAAATGCAAATTATGCAATATCAGGAATACAGAAGGGGGTATCACCACAGGTTCTACGAACTTTAAAGAGATAATAAGACACCTTTCTGCCAGTGAGCTTGAAAATATGATACACTGAACAAATTCCTTTCAAAATACAATCTACCAAACTGACATAAGAAGAAACAGAAAATCAAAATACTCCTATATTAATAACAAAAATTGAATTCTCCATTAAAAACTTCTCAGAAAAATAAGACAGGGCTCAGATGTTGAGTTCTTCTAAATATTTAGGGAAAAAATATCAATTTTCTGCAAACCCCCTTAAAGAATGGAAAGAAAACAAATACTTCCCAATTTGCTTTTGAGGTCAAAAAATGCTTATAAATATGTAATTTATAAAATAACATATAAAATATAAATTTATAAACTTATAGAATATAAAACATATGTATAGTATTCTTTCTACATACATACAGTATAATACTTTATTGCAACATACATTAAAGTACAAAATAAATGTCTGTATGTGTGTGTATATATATAATATATATATATATATATAATGTATATCTACAGATAACTTACATGTGTCCACATGAAGAAAGTTCTGAAAGGAAGAAATATGTCACATGAAGAAAGTTCTGAAAGGAAGAAATATATAACAAAAAGATAACTATTGTTATTTCAAGTAGTTTAAATTATCTTTCTGTAATTGTTTCAGAATCTTCAGTTTTAAAAATACCATGTGCAACTTTTATGTTGAAAATGTAGCTATTTTATTTTGAAAAATCTCAGATGTTAAAGCATGTTAAATTATTTTTTAACAGCATATGTGAGATATAATTCACATTCCACACAATTGATCTACCATTTAAAGTTTACAATTTCAATGACTTTTAGTATATCACAGAACAGTGGTCAGAGAAAATACGTCAAGAGTGTCCCTTAGATTGGCACTTTTAGTTAACTGGTGTAAGTTAAACCCAATAAATTATCTCAGGTTGTGGGCTAAAAAGTGAAGGGAAGAAGTGCCGACTGAATAAAACCACACATTTCCAAACGCTCAATTGTGAAGGAAAGGAGAGCCAGAAAGATGCTAGTGGGGGTCCCAGCACTGAGGGAGGATGTTTTAATATGGAGGGCTTTGAACTCGGATATCATCTCAAACAGAAGAAGGGAAGTAAAAAACAGAGCAAGTGGCCATGGCTTTCACGGATGAAGACCTTCTGGGACAGGTGGGGGAAATGCAGTGAGACAAGTCTTCGCCAGTCTTCACTGGGCTTCACTGGGCGGCCCACTGTGTCCCCAGGGTCCGAGTTGTCCTGCCTGCCTTCTGGGCCTACTCCACCTGCCCAGGAGCTCGTTCCCAGGTAGTGCCTGCAGCCCGTGGTGTCGCCCTCCAGCTTGCACTGCAGTACATATAGTGGAGGCAACGTGGGAGGGAAACAGATTCTCTGCCACAGCCCCGACAGTCCCGACTTCTGGGTCTTGAGTTCATTGCCCCCCACCCCTTGGAGACTCTTCCCAGAAACCGTCCCTGCAAACCACCACGGGGGACCGCGGGTGCCGCACCAGCCGTGTCAGTGCAGAAGCCCTGAACGCTGCCTTTCCCCTGCCCACCTCAGCGCTCAGCCGCCACTGTGCTCTGTCGTCATCAGCGACCAGAGACTCGGGCCTCTGCCTGACGTATCTGACTTCCTTTGGCAACATTTGGGGTTATTCCATATTCACGAATGTTCACCCATAGGAAAGGAGGAGGAAAATAATTGATTCCAAGGTCAGTATCTACTACACAAAAGGAGGAAGAGCATAGAAACAAGACAAAATTAAGATTTGAGTCTCTTGAAGTTTTAAGAGGATGATATGTGAGTCTTGTTTTAGGTGTGGGAAAGAGAAATTCTTATAAATGGAAGAAAGCTCCAACATATAAATATGATTTTATTTTATACACACACACACACACATTCTCTGATGATGAAAGTGAAGAACGGAGGCAAACCCTTTCCCAGTTCCTCCAGGAGCGCATGGAGACTAGAAGAACTTATCTAGAATAAAAGAAGAAAATGACTTCTTAGGACTCTGGTTTATTTTTGACATGAAACAGTTGGTGATTTTATAAAGTTTTCAAATTGTTTTTAAGAGATGAAGGCATTTTTATTGGCATTCATCTAGAATCTTCCCTTTGTCTCCTTCATACCAGTGAAAGTCCTTGCCCCTAAGTCCCACTGTTCCCCCAAAATGAATCCCCTTGAATTCATTTTAAATCTTGAATCCCCTACTCCCCTCCCCACCCAAATTTGAGGTCAGACCACTGGACAGTAGTTAGAGAAATTTTTGGCAACAGAAGGGAAAAAAATTTTTTTAATTTGAGCAACAGATGGACAATTGCATATTTCATTGTGGTTGGCAGCCTGCCTTTTCTTAAAAAGGCATCCGCAAGCCCTGCCAATGGGGGCCTCAGGTGCTCCCGGCTGGTTCTCACTAACCAGGGCGGGCAGGGATCCAAGGCGTCCTCGGTGCCGTGTCCCGCTGGCGTCTTCAAGTTTGCTGCAGCCTGAGGACCCTGACTGGCTCCTGGCCAGGGTGACTGGTTTGTGCAGTGAATCAAAGTCACTGACCATTTCTGGAACCAGAGACGGTGTCTGAAGACTTCCCGAATCCACAGCAGGCGAGCGCTTTCTCTCAAGGAAGGTGCAAGCCCTTGTTTTCCAGCAATCCCATTATCCCATCTGTTTTCTAGGCAGACGCAAGTGGCAAAACTCCAGGAAGGTGTCCATGTGCACACAGACTCTTAATTGTTTAGGAAATTTGGAGGTCGCGAGGTTGGGAGGCAATGAGCTAGTGGCTTTAAAGACACACAGACTGCTGGGCCTAAAAGCAGCCTTAAAGTCACCCCCAGTGTGGAGCCAGGGTCAGTCCTGGGTTCATGAAGCAAACCCTCCCATTCAGACAACACTCAGGAATCCCCAACCTGCCTAACCAGTCCTTCCCAGGACTCCCTTTCTCTCTCCAGACAGAATAAACGTGCCATTGCACTGTGGTGGCACCCGGCTGTAGCATCACCAGACGTGTTTCCCTTTTTGTCTGGTAGTCCCTCTCTGCCTCCATCTTGGGAGAATCCTGGGGACACATTGGGTCTTCCAGCTTTTGGATCCCACAGCCTAGCATTCAGTAGCACTCAGTAAAAATCTGCTGTGGCACTGCAGTAGTGCACTGGCATTGAAGTCTCTCCCCACACTGACATGTTGTGCAACAAAGGCTGCTTACCAAGGACAGTCAACGGGTTCCAGAAAACACTGCTCTCAGAAACTTAGGCTAAATCTTTCAAATTTCAGAAAGAATCTCCCCTGGCTAAAACTGGGCACTCAGTATGCTCAGTGTAGATGACTCCACACAGACAAAATGCAGAGGCACAAGGCCAAGGGGGAGTTTGAGTGAGAGACAGCTCCTCCTGGCCACCATGCCCTCACGCCCCACTGGGAAGGAACCCTGGGCAGCACCCATATGGGGTAGGGGAGCCCTTTGTTCTGCCAAGGTCACAAGTAATCCTACCCACTCAGAAACCCCTCTAGCTCCACTTTCTCGGTTTTTGGATCCCCTTAGGAATCAAAATAACAAGTGGGCTTCCAGATTGAGAACATCATGCGCGTTTAACATGGGGCACAAGGAGGTCTCGAATAACATCTCCTGACCCAGATTGGAGGAAGGCTTGCCAGAAATCTGCACAGTCCGTTTCTAATTGTTCTCTTCTTGCTCCTTATTTAATATCCACCCCTGCACCTCCAGCTGCCTTATCACCTGTGCCACCCTGAAGCCCGATTCGCCTTTCCTGGAGGTAGCGCTGCCTCCCAGTGTGGAGCCACACCACGGAGAGGCAGCCGCGTGTTCCTCCCGCCCAGCTCCATTTCGAGAGCTCTTCTCTTGAGCTGCTATCAGTTATCGCTCCACTACCTGATGTGCAAATGCTTCCTATGAAATGGCACACCAGTGGACTATGACCTGCAAATGTTCACTTCCAGCTACACTAGCCCATCGGTACGCAGTGCAGGAATGTTTCTAAAGCTTCCTCTTTGAATTCCTGTGCTCTGGTGCCTTGGAAATATTTAACAATCCAGAACACAGTGGAACACTCATTCTTAAAAAAAATATACATTTTTAAAAAAGCGAGGGAATTATAAACATGCATAGAAGACAGTGGTCTGGAAGCTTGTTGGGTTGGAGGTGGATGGGGGTTTGCATGGTGTCAAGGATGCTGTTGTCCAGCTTGGAACCAAGGGGTCCTTCCTCTGGAGGAAGAGGAAGCGACATATCACAGTAGCAACTCACTGGTGGGGCTGGGCCTGGGTGCTGTGTGGGGGCCCAATTCACTGATCTTCTTACTTAATGTTCTTAATGTGGAGCTTTGATTTTGACCCAAGGACACTTTCTTATTTTTCCTGAGGGCAAAATGTACACTTCTCACTTAGAGAGACTTTTATGTGTGCAGCACAACTGCTGGATGCAGACAAGGTTTTGATGTCAACTCAGAATGTGGCTCCTTAGAGCACAGGATCCCATTTGTCATCACATTCAAAGGACGAGAATCCCACACTGTGAACACCTACCCTAGCTACCTCCCCGTATCCACAGAAGACATGGGCTTCTGCTGCAGGACACAGATGTTCTGGAAGCACCAATATCATCTTGTCTGCATACAGCATTTGTGCAACCCAACAAGCTTCCAGATCAAGTGCTCAGCAATCCTCTTGCCCTGAAGTCATCTAGCCCTTTGTGAGGACTCTGCAATCCAGAATGATGTCCCCAACACGAACTCCACAGAGGACAAACCAAGGGAGTGCACTGCCATATGTCAATTTTCCAAATTAGGGATAAAAGAGACGTGTAAACCCAGATCTGTCACTGTTACCTTCTTGGACTTCATCAGTCAAACAGCAGCCTGAAAACAAAGGTGATTCCCGACAGGCAAAGAACAGCCCTCAGGAAGGCAGACAATCCAGCCCTGACAGGCAGGCCACGGCTGCAGCACCCTGACTTGTCTGAGGCTCAGGTCAGCGAATCCCGCACCCTCTCTCCCACCTGCTCCCCCAAGGCCTGAGTCTGATCCCCGCTTCACCTGGGACCCCCAGCTCCTTGCTGTTGCCTCCGCCTGTGTGTCCACCGCCAGTCGAGCTCTGACTCTGACTTACTGGGTACTGCTGGCTTCAGAGTCAAGGTTACCTGTGCCCTGGATGGACCCTTCAGCAGCTTATTTATGCAATGGCAGGCTGACACCAGTACTTACTCTGCCCAATTTTTGATGTGGATTTTGTTCCTGCCACAGTGTCTAGCACAATGTAGCGACTCAACAAACAAATGATGGTATGAGATGGCACGTTAGGGCTCCTAAAAGAGTCATTACAATGCCCTGAATCCTGATTTTATTCAGACAGGGTCCCCTCTGGAATGCCTAGCTCTCTTTGCCACCTTTCTGACCCAGTGTTAAGGAGGCAGAGCTGCTACTGCTGCAACTTCAAGTGACAGTCCCCCATGGAGTGTTCACAGGGAAAGACGTACCCCGCTCATGTGAGAACTGGCTTCAAGGTAGCAGGGCCAACCAAGGAAGAGAAAACAAACAAGATTACGAGGCAACTCAGCAAAGCAT